GTAACTTGTAATGGTAGCAGAGGTTTCAAAGCCAGCAGCGAAAAAAATAAAGGCTTGCGCGGCCATCAATTTCTCATCCATTACTTCTGTTATAATTTTAGGTGACCCATCGTTCTCGAATTCATCAATTGACGTACCTACCATTGGACCTTTTTGGTTACATTCAAGAAGTAATTCTAAAAAGTTATTTCTTTTTGAATCAGATTTATGTTTAGTTTCTAAAAAGTCTTTAATCAGTGACAAAAAATTGTTTTCAATATAAGAACTAAACGTCATTAAATTGCCGGTTATTTCCGGTAAAATATCTTTCGATGCTATTACCGCCAAATCTCGCAGGTCAGGCTCAAATATTAGGCGGCCAAGCTTTCTGAAATGAGCTTCATTATACCGAAGTGAGGCAGAGTCTATATTAAATCCAGTCGCACATACAAAATCTGTTGTAAAACGTGCCATCAGATCGTGAGCATCGAAAACGGATACATCGTTGATCGCGGAAGAAGCAATTCTTTCCTTCAATTGCTCCATACTCTGAAGTAAGATAGGGAACATTGCTTTCAGTCTGCTCGTCGTGAAAGCCGGAGAAGTGCGCTGTCGCAGCAATCGCCATAAATCTCCATCCACGAAGAACAAATTACGAAGTAAGGGCTCTACCTTGTCGTGTTGATTTAAGCCACGCTTGTGAAAATATGAGAAGTCACTGGTCAAAATACGTTTGACTATTTCGGGATCCCTTATCACAAGTTCCGGACGCCATGCGCGGTAAAATCCAACCACTCTCTCGTTCGGATATTTCCAGTATACATTTTCAGATTGTTGGGTTATATTTTTTCGCAGTAAGTAATTTTGCACGTTATTCCCGACAAGGAATATTGGTTTATCATGTTTTATATTTTTCAATTTCCAATAATTAAATGTTCTTGTAGCATATAAATAAAAAGCCAATAAAATTAATACTAATGAAGTAATGAGGATCATATTTTATGAAATGTAAAAATATACTTGCAATGCATTGTTATCGAACAATGCTACTTATAATAACGTGTGTATCAATAATATCAGATTACCTCAGATTGCTCTAAGATAAAATAAAAATTGGGTTCTTAATTTCGTTGTCTTTTTGAAATATTTTTCATCATTTGAAAATAACATATTATACGAGTATTTACACATGTTCTAATTTAAAAAAGGTTAAAAATTAGAACCAATGTTTTCATTGGTAATTGCAATATACAAAAAAGTTACGGGTTTTTCGTCGTACATTACAAAATAGGTAATTTATTTAAAAAAAATATAAAATACATAAACTGAATTATCCCGATGGACTTGGTGTTATTTTTTTTAGCCATACACGGAACCCTAATTATGTATTTATATCTCATTATCAAGTTATTTCATATTACGCCACCGTTAAGATATTTATAATTTAAATGTTACTTTTGCAAGGACGTTACTTATAACCTCAAGTGTTATAAGGGTAACTGAAAGTTTTTAGAACTAACCAGCTAGAAACATTGCCAATCAAAACCTCTTTTAAATTTTGAATATAGAACTCGTTGGTACTTTATTGTGATATATTGCATTAATTTTCCATATTTTTTTATTATCTTTATTTTTATGGGGTTTTTATGTATAAAAATTCGCCAACCCTAATTTTCCATTTGTTTATATGAATTGGCAGCGATTCCAAAAGTCTTGTTACACCCCAAAATGAATTTAACGCGAAAATTTTCAGTCCGTGATTAATAACTTTTAGCTAGATTGAAGACTCCGTGGCGCAGTCGTCAAGGTATTGGCTTCGGCGTCGGGGGTCGTGGGTTCGATTCCCACACGGGATAACTCTTTTTGTGTGATCCACAGATAGTTGTTTCGCATGTGTGTGTTTGTCCACGTGAAATTTATGTATGTAAAACGTCCTTGCAACACAGGATAAACAAAAGAAAAAGAAAAAAACAAAAGAAAAAGAATAACGACTTTCGCTTTGGTTACTTAACTTACGTTACTCAAACAACAAAGCTACGATAGACTTCGATTGGCATTTAATTATGAAACCCACTCATTACCACTGTTTACAATTAGTTAAATAATTATAAGAGCAATCTTAGTGATCTCCGTGATTAGCAATCTCCGTGAGGAACGTTCTACGACATCTAATAGTAGTGGGAAGCTTGCTCGAATGAGCTACCAGCAGATTCGACCAAGCTTAGGCATCGGTATGATTAAAGTACAAAACATAATATGTTTTTAAGTACAAAACATAATATGTTTTGTACTTTAACTAGACGCTAGTAAGCTTTTTAACAGATGGCGTCCCCACACTTTGACCGAAGACCAGAAACGCCATCGGATGGATAGGTGTCACGAAATGTTAGTAAGTTCAACGAAGGTGGCTCTAATGCTGTATGCAGCCTGTCTACCTCCGTAGACGTTGTCACAGGCGATGAAAGCTAGCTAGCTAAATTATAAAAGATATATATTGCTACGAACCCGAAACTAAAAGATAATCTGCTCAGTAAGTAAGAAGCCAAGGAAAAAACATGATTGTCTTGTTCTTTCCCTTTTTTTGGCATGAAAGTTCATTTCGCGACAGTTAGGCTGGAAAAACCCAATGAAATACCATAGTTACAGTAAAGCATTTATACCTCACACCTATATACCTCAAATGTCAATCTATACACCCTCCTCCGCAGTCACTCCGCACATTTTTTGATCCCATTGAGATAGACAGAAGCGGCGGCGGGGACTTTATTTTAGAATATATAGTGATTTAATTAACCAGTATTAACTGATAACGCTGTTGGTTAAATTTAATTTGGTCATTTAGATGATTGTTTTCATGTGAGTCCCGAAGGCTTTCGATGTAGGTGATTTCTAATAGCACAAAAAAAAACCGGCCAAAAAAACTTAAATCATAAACTTAAATCTTCTAAATTGGACTTTCTGGATTGGATCAACAGTACTTTTATATATCTGAAATGAATGATTTTATACACCTGAATTTTATATATCTGGATTGGATTTTCAGCGCTGTTAAAGAAGCGTAACTCAAGGCGTTAATATTATCAATTTCGATACAAGACAAATCATCGTCATGGTGTTATTTTTGCCTCTTTCACACACTTTTATCAACATCTATAGTTAAAGTATTAATTGTCATTAATATTGCACACAATACATTATGCGGAATGCAATACAATACGATATAGGAGCAAAAATGTTTCAAAGTCATTAAAAATAAATCGTAAAATAAACCACATCTGCATAATATTGAATAAAAATTTTAATTAAACGATTTGCTTGTATTCCCAACAACCATTTCCTTATCAAACCAATTACGGCTTATCTTTTCTTATTCGCATACGCGTAACAAAGGTTATTCGAATCATATCACAATCCGATTACATTATCTGCTGTATCATATATTCATATAGTTCACTACTACTCTAGGAGGTATTTTTATGTGTGAATACATAAAAATAAGATCAGACGAACAGGCAGACAGCGGAGTCTTAGTAATACGGTCCCGTTTTACCCTTTGGATACGGAACCCTTAAAACGCTCACTTTTAAAAGTTGTTAATGCATTTGCAAGACAAGATAGGTGTTCTTAATAAATTAACATCAGATGAACCGTTTGAAAATTTTTCACATAAAAAATGAATACATTTATAACAAGTTCATCTAGTTCCAAACTAAGCTAAACTTTTATTATTGGAACCACTTAATCGATGAACATACCTGTAAATACTTTTAATTTTCAAATAAATACATGCATATTATTATGGATGTATAACCGAGTATGTATCTCCAGTATTGGGGATCGAATCTTCTCGTGAAGGTGCGTTACCCACTATTTCCACCGGAACATTCGACCCAAAGACTTAAATCGTTTTCATATTTTAATGGACTTAAATCTTCGGTACGACCTCGTTGTAAAAAAAGTATTGTCCGCAGTAAACCCATTGTTTTTCGAGTTCAATGGACCGGTTGCTGAAATAACAATCAAAGGGATGGATGGTCACGAGGATGGACACAATAGATACGATTGTTTTTGCTCTCTTACATTTTTTTTACATTTTATTACATTGAAATTATTTTTATTTATTGTCACACAAACTTATGTATGTATGTCTGAAGCATCAAGTCCGCGGACTTGATGCTTCAGACATTCTCACCCAGTAAATATACTGGGTGATGCAGTGCTAACTAATAATTTCAGTTGGTTATAACTAATACACAAACATAAACTTTTATTAGAAAGATGCCGAATATTGATAATGAAACGTGTGTGTCTTCAAAGTAAATACACTGACGCTACAGCTGTATTGCCACATACCATCGACAGTCCTATTAAACTGTAAGTCTATCAGTTACCTAGTATCCATAGTAAGAAATTTGCTAAGTTTAGGACTAGATTACATAGTGTAAATATGTAATGAAATAGTAATTTAATTATTTTTATTTATAAAGTGTCCCTTAGTCCTTCAGTCCCTTATAAAAAACCTGCCACAAACCGCACGTCAGAAGTGAAAACTTCTTAGTTTCATGGGTTGTAAAAAAATAGTTTTTACAAAGTGTTTTTATTAGGAATTATTTGTATGTTATGCGTATTGATATAGTAATAAAATTTTCATTTATTGCGCACTTTTACATGAAAAATAATATATTTTTATTTAGATAATGGTTCACTATGGGCCGGCTTACAACTTATGGTCGTTTGGAGGTTAATAACCTCAGTGTAAAGATATCTAGTATTATCTGAAAGTAGCATTAACGGAGAACATTAAAGCATAATACTCGGCGATAAATATTACACATCGACTATTGGAAAGAGACAATCGTCTGATTTCGGCTTCGTACAGCGCCATCTCTTTCGCACGCTTGTACAACGATTGACAAACGTCACAGTGCCTTTTTCTGTAAAGATTTGTATCACTACAGGATTGCTATTGTTCCTTTCAATGTAATTTCTGTCATCACCTTGTTGCCCTTTTAGCGTGTCGAATGTTCGACTGGGCGGACAATATACCACGTGAATATCTCAACCAACCGACTCCGCTCTATGCACATCCTTCTGACGTACAGTGGCCATGGGGAGCCCTCCACGAGCCGCGGGACACAATTTTGTTTAACATCCGGGGACCATTTGGTTGGTCGTAGAAACATTTCTGCCCACAAAGGCCGTAATCGCGGCTGGACCTGACTAACCATTGTTGAGACTCCCCGAGTGATGGGGTAATTATCCTAAAGCTAGACAGGCCACGGGCCTGAAATTCCATCATCATGTCATCAGGTTTGTCATCGAGATCATTATAATGAAAATACTGTTAGGGTTATTTATTTTACGAGCTTAGGGTTGCTTGAATTGAAAAGTAAATGCAACTGCTACTTATTTTAATAAATGAGTAATGTATTACATTGTATCTTAACAGGGCATGAAAGTTTAATGAATGAATGAAAACTTTATTACTTTGTTTTATAAAAGAACTTTTCTCAATATGTATTGATATCGATACGCCATTTGGTTTACTGATGCTTTTAATGAATCTAAACGAAATAGAAAATTTCTATTGAAACATTTTAAATTATTACTGCTTCGATTCATTTTAATATCCGCACCACTTATTCTAATTAGAACTATATGAGCTATGATTAAGGAATAGTAATAAAATTAAAAATGTTATATTCAATGAAAATATGTTTCTAGAAGCTTTCCTATCTTCTTCATCTTAATGAACTGAATACCCTTCAGTTGAATCCCAATTAACAGGAATCAATTTCACTGAAGTCTCGCCGACCAAGAAATGATTGATATTAAAACTTGTAAAAGCTTCAAAATAAAATATTCAATATCGGTACTTGAAACTGGAGTTTATGTAAATGAGTGTCTTAATCATGATTAAATGCGCAATCACATCAACAAATACCAAAACACAATTGTTGCCCTAGTACGTGTTTCTTATAATTATCCTTTTTAGACATTGCTACGAGAATCGCGTCCAATACACTAATATCCAAAAACTTGAGCAGTTATAATACTAGTGCAATAGCAAAATAAAGATGAAACTATATCCATTCGTTTATAATATTCTTAAATTCTTATTATGAACTACTTTTAACGGGTACTTAAAGCGGGTATTAATATTTCAAGTTCACTCCAACCTTGAATACAGACTAGATTATTGGTATCAAAACATTACAATAAGAGTGCGATATAAAGAATTAAATTGTTTTACGTTTACAGTGTTCCCTATTCCCACCTTAACTTTACATTTTATAACACAATACCTGTCTCTCTGTCTGTTATGTGTCCAGAAAATGTGTATGCTTTATCTCATTCGGCATTCCTGAGAAAAGGCTGTTTATCGCGCAGGTCTACGTTAGAATTATATTTACAGTGTCTTGTTTGATAAAAAGTATTTACAAGTTTCTTTTGCATTTTACAAATGCAAATGTACGCTCACTACGTAAGGCCTAAAAAAATGACTTTGACTCGTTAACATTTTTAACTATCAAGTGTCAAATGATAGAAAAAAGTCGCAAGTATTTCTTATTTTCCTGAGAAAACTTATTAAAAACTGTTCCGAATTTTGATACTTAATCATTTTCATGGTAATAGTTTTTTTTAAAACATTACCTTTACTTTAGGACAACATTGACCTGTGTTGTAAGGATTTACAAACATACAGATGCGATACAACTATATGTAGGTCACACAAATAGTTAAAGAACCCACGACCCCCGACGCCGAAGCCAATACCTTGGCAACGGCTTCACTCGCCACAATAACAGTTTTTGTTTAAATTATTAAGGTCAAATACGGGTGGGTTCACATAGTGTTTTTTTTTAATGTGAGGAGGTGGCGAACGAGCTGGCGGCTCACAAGATAGGTTTATATGTATATTTGATATAGTAGTATAGTTTTATATGTGAGAATTGCTTGTACTATATTTTTCATACGCATACCGCCACCCATGGACATTTACAACGCCCTAAATGTTAGAAACGTGGTAGGGCCACGCAACAGTGTTCACTGTTGCACGAATGGGCAGATCCGTCCGGGTTAGTACCACGACCTCACAGAAGAGCGGCGTAAAGAAGAATTGTTGCACTCCTGCCTTTCGTCTGGTGAGTGCGGTAGCCGGGGCGCAAATTAATAAAAGGTGGCAACGCATCTACAACCCTACAGGTGTTGCACAGGTCCATTGGCAGGCGGTTATCACTTTACATCAGGTGAACCGCGGCTCGTTGGCCACTTTCTCACATTAAAAAAATGTCCATCAGTTTCCACCTTTTAATAAAGTGGGCCCGTCAGCCAGACGAAACGCGGAAGTATGACACGTCCACGCCGGTGTGCTGCGAGCTCGTGGTACTTCTCCGGACAGATCCGCCTACCACCCTTATCATTTACTCGTATGAAAATATAATACAAGCGATTCTCAGACCTACCAAAAATACATATAAAACTTCGATCAAGCCGTATCGAAGGAGTATGGCAACTAACTATAAAAAATAATAATAAAAAATGTTAGAAAATAAAATTTCTTTCTTTTTATTTTTTATTTTTTATTTTAAAAAACACTGCCCTTACTTTAGGATAACACTATCCTGTGTTGTAAGGACGTTTTACAAACATAAATTTCAAGTGGACAAACACCCAGATGCGAAACAACTATCTGTGGGTCACACAAATGAGAGTGGGAATCGAACCCACGACCTCTGACGCCGAAGCCAATACCTTGACAACTGCGCCACGGAGTCATCAAATTCTGGCTAGTCCGATTTTCCATGCAATTTTTCCATTCTCATTCGTTCGTAATATCTCGTTTAAACCATACCTGGACTGCCACAAATATTTTAAAAGCAAAATTAGCCTAATCGGTCTAGCCGTTCTCGTACTTAAGCGAAACAAACGATCAGCAATTCATTTTATATATAAAGATATAAAAATCGGTGAAACATAGCATTAACATCTTTCTAAGCAATTCAAACAATTTAAAAAAATATGTAAGTTACCGTTTAATGATTATACACAGTAGGTAATATTTTGCGTACCTTTCCGAATTAATTCCCTATTCCCCCAGTAAAAGTAATCCCGAAAGGCCATTAAATGCAATTTAGACATTCATAATTTGGCACTAATTGATCCACTAAGTCCAATCTGTACATTTCAGAGCCAAGTAAACCTACATTAAACAAAAGAAAACGTAGGGATATAAACGTTAAATAAAGGTCATGTTATTTTATGTTTGAATCTACAATTAAAAACGACCCGTTAGTAAACCTGTCTGTTCCGCAGAGAGTGGGTTCGGACTACTACTGGAAAAAATATTTTGTGATGAATACAGTTTTTCCAGTGTCTGGGTGTTTACATATATTTAATATGTATTTATTTACAAAGACTAATGTGTTAAAGTATGTCTTCTCAATAATACAAGCTTTTCCTAATTTTGGACTAGAAAGGGTTATGTAAGAAAATATTAATGTTATGATTATATTATTGGGGATATTTATTTGTTTACAATGATTAAAAGAAAAATATTTATTGTAACAAAAATGACAGTTAAGTCGATTGTATGAATTGTTGTCATCAACGACAGTTAACACATTCATACTAATATTATAAATGCGAAAGTAACTCTGTCTGTCTGTCTCACTTTCACGCCAAAACTACTGAACCGATTTAAATGAATTTTGGTACATAGATAGATTAGAGCCTGAGAAAGGACATAGGCTATTTTTTAATTTGAAAAAACTTTAAAATAAATATATATTTTAAAGAAAGATATTTATTTACGGGCTTCAACGCGAGCGAAGCCGCGGGCGAAAAGCTAGTTTTTTATAAAGTTAATGTGGAATAGACAAGCATTAATTAAAACGAAGAACAATTAAGAAAATAACTATGGCACATTCCATCTTCCGTCGTCTTAAAAACATGTTTGTTTAGAAAGTGGATGTAATTTAAACTCTAGTGTTATTTAAAAACACAGTTGTACATATAATTGTAATTGCAATTTTAGGATAAGATAGTGCTCGAGAATCGAACGGCGTGTATGCGATTTTCGGCATTTCGAATGAAAAGAAATTTGTTGAAAACTAGTTGTTCTATAATGTTATTTGTTTTCCTACATAAAAACTGTGTTCGTGTCAGTTTTTATGTAATCTCGTAATAATTTGATATAGGGAACAAATGTTTCTCACAGAATTGTCTACGATAACTCAGTGTTATTTTCCTGTATATGACCACATTACACTTACTATGTCTATAAATGCACAGAAGGTTTTAGTCGCCCTGCATTTTCATACGTGGCTACAACGGTTGTAAATATTTCGCATTCCATAGGCGAACTAATGGAGGAACTTCGTAGAGAGAAATTTAAATAATGCACTCCCCTTTGTAACGCCACGGAAGCATTCTACATTTGCCGTTAGTTTAAAACTATGTACATGTGGTATGGTCTTGAGTAATAAAATTAATTGCATCGATTGTTTTCCTTTTGAGGGTCCCCTAAGTGTAAAACGGGACCCGTACGAAACTCTAAAAAGGGGACCCTCACATATAGGTGAACTAGCTTTTCGCCCGCGGCTTCGCTCGCTTTGAAGCCCTTAAATAAATATCTTTCTTTATGCTATCAAAACTTTACAATACTTTTTTCCAATTAAAAAATAGCCTTCTCAAGCTCTAGACTATCTGTGTACCAAATTTCATTTAAATCGGTTCAGTAGTTTTGGCGAGACAGACAGCAACATTACTTTCGCATTTATAATATTAGTATGGATGTTTCAGACGTTCTATATTATCACACTCACCTATAAATGTCATATTTTCTCGCTGTATGCATCATAGTGAATGTAATCACTACGTTTTTATGGGCATGCGTCATCTTTATGTAAACATCATTGTTTACGTAATACATACATTCGCGATACAAATACACGTACATTGAGGGGAATTACTACACGCTGGAATTAATGAGTTACGATTATAAACAAACAAACGTTATCAATTACCACGTTCAGTGACTCCACTCTTTCTATTTTAAGATGAGTGAAAAAGGGGAAGAACATCAGGAGAGAATATTATCTCGTAAAGGAAGTCCCGAAGTCTGGCGGTTCAAATAAATATCAGGGCATTATTGATGCTTCTTATTCAGGAAGACAACTTCATTCGTTGAAGGTCTCTAAAAGTATTGTTTAGTGTTCGAAAAATTAACTGGTAAGAGCTGCTTTTGTCTATTGTTTCTTCTCTTATGATTATTATTATTTGTGTGATATTTATTTCTTTTCTCGTTATTATTATCGTTATTATTTTAGTTTTTGGATTCATGCTGTCTGTTTGTCTCGCCTAGGGTTGATATATATTAGTTTTAGCTGACTTTGGTCCCTCAAGATGAGGGTTTGTTACAAAAGGGACAAATCTTCAAATAACATTCGATAAATTTATTCTGGTATGAATGTTTCTTCGGTGCAATTTGTGTTTATGAAACTCGTCTGCAAAACGGGGTTATCTAACACTGATAGTAATAGAGACAGTCTGCATATTTAGTATTGTATTTCTTTTCTCTTTTCATTCTTATCTCCTTTTATTGATCTTAGCTAAATATTTAGCTTAACCTAATTTTTTTAATCTTCTAGTTGACGTTTGTAATGTGTACACAACGCAAAATTTTTAACTTAGCAACGTCAACTTAAATAATCGTTTGTAACGACCTGTTACTATATTTCTATTGTCATCTTTACGCTCCATGATTTCTGTTGGTTTTCCTGCACAAATGAATAACTGTTTCTTGAATAATTGGCTGTCGAATAAACATATCTTGGTATTTTTATGCCGGTATATGTTTCCCGGAATGTGTAATATTGTCGTCGTTGTCAATCATAAATAAATCAAGACCTAATAACTATTATAGAATATAGTTCGTTCAATCTATCTAAAATTACATATTATCTAATAAACCTAATCACGCGGCATGGTGCCAAGAACGCTAGCTGCATTTCCTCGCTGAATAGTAATGCTTAACCTTTGAGCGAGAAAAGAACCAGCTCTCTTGTCACCAGCTGCGGCGTTAAGCCTAGGGCAAAACTTTTAAAAAAAAATTATGTGCGGGGACACCACGGACCTAATGTTTCAACAGCAAATGGCACAAATACATAATCTAAACATAAAGACTCATATTTGCGCCATTTACTTACTTCAGCTGCCTCCGATGCCGCCCCGGCCCTGTCCGAAGTACCCCTTAGATGAGAGGCAGCCAAAGTGTCTACACAAGTGGCGTCCCAAACAAGGGCTTTGCCTCTCTCCCAAGGGATCAATGGTCAAACCGTCGGGTCTCTTACCATCGTCGCAAAAATTGCCACAGGGCTCTAAAATACAATGGAAACAAGAGCCCTACGGATGATGTTGTTCAGGGTACCGTGGCGGGAAAAACGGCCGGCAGTTTTTTGACAAGAAAGCCCATCATAAATTGCACTTTAACATACCCTAACAGTAAACGCCCCATTTCTTATCTAAAGAACATTGCTTTTTATTGCTGCAATAACGTTTTGTGTTACAAAAACTATGCATTATCTGTATCTTATTAAGTGCAATCAATATCAAAATAATGACTTATTTAATATATAGGTATACTTTTTGTTTGCAGAGATGATGTGGTTCTTTTCGATTTTGCTCGGTATTCTCGCTGTGGCGATGGCTCAAGACTACGAACATCAAGTGCACCCACAGTTGATTGACAGGTAAAAAAACTTAAACGTCAATTGAAACTTTCTCTGACAAGTTAAATTTGTTTGAATTTCGAATTCAAATTTAACGTTTTTCTATAGTTATTTTCCTTCAGAAAGTGCAATCTTAATTCAAACAGCTGTCATTACAATAAACGGCTACTGTTAGATTGGTGTACTACACTAACATAAACATTCTGTCATGAATTTTAAATTAAATTAACGTTTCAAATGTTTGTAACGACTATAAGAGACAAAATTACTGATCTTATTTTTTGAACGGACAACCGTCGTGTTTATTTGTCTGCTCAGTTTATTGCTAGTTATACTAATTTTAGGAAATAGATTATGATATGAGGATTTTTATTATGATTTTGTTTTCGTCTTATGATATGAGGATTTATATTGTCTATGTCCGTAGTTGTATTTCTTCATTGTATTTTGTTCAAGCGCCTATGTGTTTTTTTTTTTTACTGTATAGATATTATGTCGTTAATTTTTAGAACTTCGACTCGGTTTTCGACTTTCTTTAGGTTCGACTCCCACAGCGGCGACAATCTTTTCGTACTTTTTGTACAATTTTTAATGTTTAATCTTAAGTGCAGAGATTAGCACAGTTTAAATTTTTTTCCATCCCAATTAATAAATGCTCCTCCTACCACCTTTAGGGTAAAGGGGGCTACGAGCATAACTTCTTCGATGACCATCGCGGTCGGCTGGACGGGCAGGCGTACGGGACCAGGGTTCTCGGTCCCTACGGCGACTCCAGCCACTTGGGGGGCGCGCTCAACTGGCACGATGCCAACGCGGCTGCTTCTCTCGACGTCAGCAAGCAAATACACGGACCTTCGTCTGTAAGTCCTTAGTAATTCTTATTCTAATAACTCTCAGACCCCATCTCCAGATCAGTGATATGTTTCCCACTGAGGAAGAAGAAGAAGAAGAAGAAGAAGAAACGTTTATTCACGGTCCAAGTACAATAGATACAAAGAACACTTAAAAATAATAATGTAACTACACATTATGTAAAATAATATTAGAATAACTTAAAATAAATGTAAACATAACAAAAAAACTAAAAAATAATAATAATAATAAGTGAAGGTCTGTGTAGCAGCATAAGACCGTGAAACGGACGGGACTCGGTAAAAGTCGAGATACAGTAACTAAGATTCGTTCTGATCCCGACGCCGGTTTTCAGTCCGCCCGCACTTCGAGACAACTCGTACGGCTGCGTCAGTGCACTTGTAATACATACCTACAACGCAGTATAGCGATAATTAAATTATTTTTGTTTGAACCTTTCAATTATATAGACAGTGGATATCATTCGTCTGAAGAGGTAAGTAAAAATTAGAACTAATGTTTTCTTGGTGTCAGCTGCTTTTTTTCCATTTTGGTTTTAGGTTACCAATATTTATGCCTACTCTGTGGCACTGTGACATTTACCGATCGAGGACGCACCCAAATAGACTTCATGAATTATAATTGGTATGATTTAATAAGAAAACAAGATGATATTGGATAATGTTACTTTTACATTATTTTTTGAGTTCGCTACAACAAATAGCAATCTAGCTCTCGTTATTAAGATACCAAAATAATTATTTCACATTTCCTCCAATAACCTCTAAACTACAGCACCTATAATAGTTAAATATGGATAATATCATAATGGAAGTCTCATAATAATCAACAATAGATCTCTTCAATTATTTAAACATTTGGCCAAATCATTGTGGGATGAATGTTTAAATAATGGTTCTTATAATCTCCTAAATTTAAAAATACGCATTCGATTCTAACAGATTAACGCTGGTGCGGGTGGCAGCTGGCCGGTTGGGAAAAACGGCGACTTCTCGGTGCTGGGTACGTACGGGAAGACCTCTGGGATCCCTTCTGACTATGGCGGGAAGGCCATATTCAACTACCGCTGGTGAAGGATTCCATACGACATTTGTTAAGCGTTTTCAATGTATCTAGTCTACATAAATATGAATAAATAGTACTTACGTCATATTATATAGCTTTTTATCATTCCCCCGTCTTTATCCCGTCATTGTTTATTTGGACGTAGTTGGAAAATTACTGTATGGGGATTTCTACAAACTAAACGTGGCCTACTGTATTAAAAGGTGGCAAAAAAAATCAGAGGTGATTCACGTTATTGGAAATCTTTTAATTTATTTACTAATTTTTTTTTTACGGACATTGAGATCGTTTCATAACTTTGTTTCATAAGTTCAGTTGGAACTTTCCATCCATTTAATAGAAATCGGGATTCGTTTTTAGTAGTAATAGCAAATTGAGTTCTTTCTTTTATTGGCAGACCATAATGGAACTTTGATAGGTTTACTTTCAACTGAAGTCGATGAGAACGTAGACTTCAGTTGAAACAATTTTTTACGTTTAATCTATCGGTATTTTCTAAAATTTTCTTAGAAAATATCTTTTTTAATTTACTAATTTAAAATTTAAAGGTTTTTGCTTTGACTACGTTGTAAGTTCAAAAATTCATCGGCCGTTGCTTTAATTCGTAAATAACTACAAATGATAACGCATGTGCACATGTACATGCAAACGGAACGCAATAATAAATACGCAATAATTCAATATTAATTGTTTCGTTTTTAGTATAATTACCCTAAACATTATTTTATTACGGATTTCTTATTACTTTTATGACTTCTTAGTAATTTAAAATTTTTATTGTTAGGTTTTTGATCTAACATCCAATCACGGCTCCAATAAATTAACAACAGTAACACATAACTTCGTAATAAATAAATAAAACTCATAAATTCGTAAAAATGAAAGCTAACTGAGGGTGGAAAAAGAAATAAATTTTATTCTATATTTTTGTATTTAATTAATAGCTCTTTTTAGGGTACCGTACCCAAAGGGTAAAACGGGGCCCTATTACTAAGACTCCGCTGTCTGTCTGTTGTCTATCACCATGAACCGTAATAGTAAGACAGTTGAAATTTTCAAAGATGACGTATTTCTGTTTCCGCTTTAACAACGAGTACTAAAAACCATAATAAAAGAAATATTTAACTGGGGCTCCCATACAATAGACATGATTTTTTTGCCGTTTTTATCGATAATGGTACGGAACCCTTCGTGCACGAGTACGACCCGCACTTGGCCGATATTTATTATCTCATACTTGGATAAGGGTAGGAGGATAATGAAGATTCTTTCTTACATACCACATATTAATGGAGTGATCATACTGTATCACATACACCCCGAACGTGTTCTTGCTTTGTTGGTCTGAAGGGCTTAGTAGACACAGCTTGATCACAAACACGATGAAGCGATGAGGAAACTAATTTTGGATGAATGAATGAATGAATATTTATTTAGTTTCAACAATAAACATAGTTTAACAATTAAGAACAATTAAGAATATATATCTAAGACATGAAACCAAATATCTATGTATGTACTCGGTACGATTTCCCGATTTTCAGTACATACCAAAATTTTGGCTAGATGTTTTTGCGAAGATTGTGATAGGTCCGTAGGGGAAGGCTCTCATTGTGGTCAATTTGAAAGCGCTCAGGGTGGATGCCGTAAAGATACGGAGGTAGGTAGTAACGCCTTTCTATCTGTCCTCTGCAACTGAGATGGAGTCGCAACAGCAAAAAGCAGTACCGATGTTCAATGAAAAATGCTGCCCGCTGTATTACATTTTGGTTGTACATCCAATAAAGAGACACCAGCTTTCAACTCGTCCAATGAAAACGGATCCGTGATGTCTGGAACTTTTTAATTTCCACCAAGCGACGGATCTGTCTAACGTCGGTCGAAATCAGTGGTTTTCAGAATATCAAAGCATCGATCAGGTCATAAAAGAAACGTCGACCGCTAACCGGTGGTTACGTCAAACGTAAACTCCTAAAAAACTCCTAAAAGCCCTGTCATTGATAATTTAAGTCACTCTCGGCGAAAAGCCAGACAGATTGGCACTTGATACGCGCATAATGAATAACGAAGCAAACGTTTAGTTAACGTACATGACCATTAGACCTACGTCTGATCTAAACCTAAGTCAGCGTAATTATAGGATACACTCTGTGTTAAAATCACTATTAACGGCCTACATACTAACCAGATTGTGCACACATAACAATAAAATTATTATGGTCCGTTAAAATATTTTTTTATAGAGGCATGTTATTGTTACCTTGTTTATAAAGTTGAAAGTTCCCGCTTTCGTCCTAATATACAATTACCACTATGACGAAATTGGTCACACACCAACAAAAAGCTGTTCCAGATCTGGGTGTTTGTTTCCCAAGGAGGGTTAACGTCAGGCAGGCGGCCGCTCGTAAAAAAACATAGCCAAAATCGCTTCCTACATGATTCACATTTTGTGCCGATGAAACCGAACAAACCGAGATGAGATAGAAACAACAAAATTTGTGTACGTTGGGATATATCGAGGCGTGATTGCTCAGTGTCAGATTTTCTTGAGTAGGCTATACAATTTCGTGTTCCAATATAGAGTTCCATCTCAAATTTAATGGTTCGGTATTGGCGTAAAATATTATGTTTTTTAAACAGAATATATTTTAGTAAAATTTAGCTATGTGGAATTTGCCGAAACGATGGTAAAAGAACGGCTTGACTTTGATCCCTTGGGAGAGAGACAAAGCCCATGTTTGGGATGCTACTTGTGTAGACACTTTGGCTGCTTCTCATCAAAGGGCATCGGAAGTAACTGAAGTACGTGGCGCAAATATGACTCATACTCTTTGTTTAGATAATGTATTTGTGCCATCTGCTGTTGAATCTTTTGGGTCTGTGGGGTCCCCGTACATGGAAGTTTTTGAAAGGTTACGTCCTAGGTTACGCATACGCCGCGGCTGGTGACAAGAGGGTTGGTTCTTTTGTCGCTCAAAGGTTAAGCATGACTAATCAGCGAGGAAATGCAGCTAGCGTTCTTGGCACCATGCCACGTGGATTAGGTTTACTCTAGTAAAAATTATCTATAATTAATATGTAATTTAGGTTGATTTAATTACTCGAAATTTTAGTCTAATGCTTCGCAAATTTAGTTGAAAACAGAGAAAAAGGGGAATTCACAACGAATCACTCAAACTCAAGATACAAGGCTAGCTAAACCTTCTTTCAGGATTTTCGGTGCAATTTTGGTTAAAATACGAAAGTTATTTTGAATTACAGATATTCCGTTGAATATATAAATTTAAAAGTACTATTCTTGAACAATGCTATCATAAGGGACCATTTTTCAAGAATTCCATATATAAATTCATATTTATCCGGTAAAGGAAAAAATGCCACCGCATTATAGCGCAATATATCAGTCTTGTATTATGTGGCTGACGTTAAAAGGGTCCAATTTGATAAATGATGTTCTAGGAATGTAATTAATCGTTATTTTTTGCCTTTGACATAATATCACTCAAGGTATGGGCCTTTGAGTTGCAAATAAAGATATTTCTATAACTAATAGTTTTCAAGGGTCTGCTGGAAGGGAAAACTCAAAAAAGGGTTAAGCTCGCCTTTGTACATATATTTTATCATACGTTCCAATTGTCTTTTTTACATTTTTTACATTTCGTTAGGATTTAAGTTTGTAATCCAGATACGACTTAGAGACCTTCAAGAAAGAGCCTATCCCTACCTCAAAGGTCAGTCCCTCCTCTTGTGCTGCAAGTGTCCATGGGTGGTGTCTGTCATCACCTGATGGTGAGTGTTCCGCGCTCGTTTCCCCACATTTCCATATAAAAATCTGTATCCAAAGATTATTACACACAATCTATTAACCTTGAAGAACTATAATAAAGTGTCCACAACAAAATGTAACAGTCCCTGAACTGTCGTTATTCAATTGGGCATGCTTTGAATTATGGCTTAGCTACGCCTGTTAGTTAAACAAAGTTTGTTAGTCGTAAATTTTGATTAAGACGATGTATTTTACTCTCCTTCGGCCACGGCGAGATTCATTCGTCCCACCATAACCTGAGACGACGTTATGAAAATTTCAACATAATAATATTAAATGAAATACCATCGTTCTATATAAGCGTAATTATATGTCAATTAAATAACATAAAAAGCGTGTAATTATATATGATATAAGGTATGTAAGTTTATATATGGTCGATGCTATGTAAACCGTCGTTTTTAAATATCACTATAGCATTAGAGAATGAGAGTAACACGAGTCAAAATAGAAATCTAATGAGCTATATTTTACACTTTATGGTACCATACGAGGATTCCACTAAATTGACAATTTCTAAAGCACTTCATTCGCGAAAAGAGTTTTTATTTTTATTTTTGTTAATCAATCACCAGAACAGTTTTCATTTATGAATGAATTCCTGACATCTAAAGCGACTGCTAATGTTACTAACATTTTGTTTAGTTCATCAGGATAAATACGCGAGAACCAGCCTATTTCAGAACCCTGTTAACAAGTAAATGCATTTTATGACGTTTATCTGGTATTATTTCTTCGTTACCAGGTACATTAATGCTCTTTGTGTAAACAATGTCGTGCAAAAAGAAAATAATAGAATATATATCAAGGTTCTATCACGCATAAAACGTAATTACGTTATAATTTACAAAATGTAATTACATCTAGTAAAGAAAATTTTATGAATACATTTATGAGAAATTTATATACATAATAATATTTATGTCTCGGGAATACAAAGTAAGAATTTTTAGAGCGATCAAATTTGCTTCTGAAGTGAAACTCTTTCTTACTTGTCCGTTCGTTTTTATTTCGTTTTCACGCTATGATTTTTATTTTTCAAGTGCTTATCGTTGCTATACCTGTGTCTAATTTAATCATGCTTTTTCTTTGTATGTTTATTTAAGTACCTTTTTATTTATAAAAACTAACCCAATGAGATAAATCACTTTCTTTGTGTGCTTTTAAATGTAAACTCTGTGTTTATTGCTGCCCCATTTTATCCTTCTGTCAAATATGTCTC